TGATGATGTCTCGAAGTGAAGATGAAGTTGACCACTAAAAATCTGAGCAGTCTCTGATCTTTTCTGCATTTCCAATAAATAAAAGCTTTGGCTGGGCACTAGTTTTATGTTACCTGTAATACTCTGGTTTCCTAAAAAGCACAAAGGTAATGTGGAAAGGCTTTCATATAGAGCTTTCCAAGGCCAAGTCTTCTGCTCCTGTTGTCCTCCTCTTTTTATTTATAAGTGTTTAGTGTTTCAGCTGTGTTACACCTCGTCCAGATTGCATCTAAATTGCACATTGGCTTTACTGCCGAGTGGTAAATTATACTTTGTTTCCAGACGCACAGAGGAAATGCTGACTGTGGACGTGTCTGAGCAGAAGAATGTAATTTGCAAACACACGGCACTGTTTCACAACAACTCTGCAACTTGGGATTTGTTTTCTGACACTGGAAACAATGAGGTTTCAAAAGAATATGGGAAACCAGTCAAACCAGTGATTCTTACAACCAGAGGCGCAGAATGTGTCAAACATCATCTTTGTAACGACATGCAGGCCTAAATCAAATTAAAACCATGCCCAAAGCTATTGACAGTTATACCAAAACTAAACTAATACTGAATGTATCAAGGATGAGTAAAGGGAGGTTACACACTTACATATTTCTATGTCTTTAATGCCAAATACCAAAGCCCTGGTGAAGCTCTGGCCACTAGAAGTTTCTTTGCCCTTTTCCTGACACCCCCACTCCACTCACCTTTACCACTTCATCACTGAAATTAAAAAGTTTCCAGGAACAGCTAAACCTGTCAGGCAGAAACATCAACCTCTGCTGTAAAGTAGCAGTGCCACTTTGTTGATGCAGCCTAATTGGGTGAGCTGGCTTATTTAAAAGCCCCCCCACCCACTCTGGGACTCAATAATTTAGAAGTACTTTGATGTTTTTTGCTTGATTTTTTGTGACTGAAGTGAGGAAGGTTAGGTATACTGCAGTGGCTGGGCTCCACCAGCCCAACTGGTTTCTCTATGGGGACAAGTATCACATCTGCACCCAATCAGACTGGAGAACCCCCTACTGAAGTACTTCCACTGCCCTCAGGACAGAGACTGAGCGATATGGCCCCATTAAAATGTGTATACTGTTCCTTACAATATGTACAAGCTCTGTGCACCATATCGGATTGTTTTTCTTATTTTATTCGTACCCATTTGTATTTAATGGTTTCAGTACTTACAGACTGAAAGCTTTGGCAAATTTATGGATAAAGTTAGCTGATTTATGATTGCACCTTCGCCCCTTATAGTGCTTAAAGGCTCACTCTGAACACTTGCAGATGATTAATGAGAAAGCAAAAGAGCTTCAGAATTAAGCCCACTGCAAATAAACCATTGTTTTAAATGCAACAGCGGGAGCAAGACGACAACCGATACCTGCATACTTTCCTCTCCCTTACTGTAACAGCCTACATATAATCTCCCGGTAGAAGAGAAAGATCATCAAAAATAGTCCTGAGAAGAAACGGCTTGAGAGAAGTGGAACCATCATCGCAGCATGGTAGATCCTACCTGGAAGAGGGGTGCAAAGATGCATCTGTCTTACTTGTGGCTGGAAGGCGGAGGTGTGGATTCTGTAGAGCTGGTGTGAAATTCCAGCATCACCACAGGTACTGAGAGAGTGGCCGATTTTCCGTATGAGCAAACCTGTGTGTGCGCATCCACAAACCTGTGCGCCGAAGGGGTTTTCTCACCTATAGGCTTGAATTGCGGCAAAAAGGAAGCAAGTGATCCATTTCATTCTGACAGGGACTTTACTTGTTGCCAGGTTTGCAGCTTCAAAGAGGTAAGACAGACTCTCTGAGCTAACAGAGAAGTACTGTCTGGGACGACTGCTGGTCAGCTCCCAGCAGTCCTCTCCTGAGATCTCACTTTCCATGTTCAGGCTGCTTGCAATCTGGTTTAAGTATGGAATTCATACCACAGACCAAAAATATGTCTCACCCATCCCTGGTTTCCCTCGTCAATCCACTCTGTAGACTTATCCTTCCCTTCCACTTTTTCTCACTCAGCTCTAAGTTTCCTAGTCATTACTCGGCTCAAACATTCCCCACACAGAGATACATAATATACTGTATATTGTACATTCTTACACAAGTCTTATATAAATAGAAGGCTACCGACTTTTAATTTAACTATTGTATGGAAATGTTTGATTTGATTGATGTCCCATTTAGTTTTTTCCTTGTATTGTGCATATTATATTTGCAAACAATTGCTGATTACCAGCCGATACAGAGCAACATTAGCATACGTTTCAAGACACATAGGAGAATTTAAGTCAAATATTCATTCTCCCTTTACATCTGTTTTTTCCCGGACAACATAAAGGCCAGTGTTAGCTTATTGCAGTGAGTATCAGTATTGGTTTAGATGGTGGTTGATAAATAACAAGAACTGAAATGCCAAACTAGGTTTGAGGTAATTTAGAAATATTGTGCTCAGTTTGACTTCAAGAAAGCACTGACAAACTGATTTTCCAACTGAAAAAATCTGAAAAACAAATCTCTAGATCTCTATCAGGATTGTTTGTAAAATGTTATGTGTACTTATTGTAAAATTATAAATATATAATATGAAATTACTATCAGCAATATACTGTTATTAGATTTTTCTAACTCTTAAATGTCAATATCAGTATCAGCCTCAAAAATCCAGGAGACACGGAGAATACTGAGGCAGGAATTGTTGGTTGAACAAAGCTTCTATTGTTATACGTTCCCTGCAGCTTGGGCAGAGTTTAGAGACTATGTTACGGTAAAGACTGTGTTAGTGGTCTAATATTAAGTAGTCAAATGTGAGCAAGCTGGCAGCTGAATCCTGATTAAAAAAAATAGAGGTAAGTAATTGTGAAAAATTTACTTGCTTCCAGGAAATATTACTTGTGTGCTCTTCAGTCCAGTGGAGAAGGTGGACTGTGGGGTAATGAGGACAATCTCCCAGCAAGAAGTCATTTGATTCTGTGCAGATTTGCCTCTGTTTTTCCACCGTCTTCAAGGTGGCCAAGGAGCGGCCATATTTTTTACCTTCCTCAGACTTTGTTTATTCGTCTTGTGAAATGGTAGAGGTAGTGCAACTCTTCATGTTGACACGTCTCACTTCAACAGCTGTGACCAGAAACTGGTTTCAGGGGTCCATTATATCTGATCTGGGAAAGGTGAAACACACACCGCTCCTTTCAGTAGCTTCTTATAAAACCATATTTTCAATGGTACGTGTTAGACGTTGATGCTTTCCCTTTAAACACCCAAGAGGAAAGGAGCAGATGGGAAAATCACATGTTTAAAATCCTCATAAATATCCAAGTCTTTGGAAGGTAAACTCCACCATTCCCCAAACATGAACCACAAAACCAGAACTGAACAAATAAACTCTTCACCATCCACAGAGAGCACATAGTGTGAATGAAGTGTCTTTCACGCCGAAGAGCCAGACAAAGAAGATGTTAATTTTTGTTTGATTGTCGCCTAGCTCACATATGAAAGCACTTTTCTCTCAAATCATGGAGCAAGTTGCCTGCATTCCAAAGTTTATGGAAGACAATTCCCTCTTTCCCCATGTCTGTCTGGGTCATATCACACTGGTGTAGACTGGCTCTAAACTTTGGAAAAAAATGTTTTTTCTAAAATCACAAAAACTCATTTTATTGGAATATACACACTTGAGGACTACCCACTGACCTCTTTTTTTGCAGCTGTTAGATATTGGAAGCCACTATAAATTAATCATGTCCTGTTAAACGTTCATATTCCAGCATCAGGAAGAGACAAATATCTAATTTTATGATATGGCCAATATCTATATATATATATATATATATATATATAAAAGCAGTACTGGGCAAATTCATTTACAAATATAAGTCCTTTCCCCGCTCACATGCACTGTATTGGATTTAAACATAAACATGTTACTCTGACATTAACCTACAATTTCTTCTCATTGGACACAGAATCAATTCCTTTATTTAATGAATTTTTTTTTCTCTCGTTTTGATGAGTGTAAAAAACACACCTAAGTCACAACATTATTTATGAGACTTTGCAAATGAGACCTTTTTTTTTTTTTAAAGAAAACAAACAAAAGTGTATCATTATAGGTGATTCACAACTGATGCCATTAACTGAGAAATTGTTTCCAGTTGTGCCCTCAAGGTAAAGATACATGTTCTTATAAATACTGCAGTTGTCAAAGAAGTGTGATTAGAGTGCAAACATCACTATATGTAGACCATATCACTCTCACATCTCTCTAGGACATTAATTCAAGTTAATTTGTTGTGTTATATCTTTTCTTCAATTATAACTTTGGAAAGAGGAATATTACATCAAATCAATTAAATACAGTTTCATATTTTAAGAATACATTTCAGCATTTCAGTATTCCTCTTTTCTGTCTCAAACTCCCTCCCTCATCTCTCAGTTTAATTTCCAGGAGGGCAGTAAAATCAGCACACAGTCACAAACAATAATCAAAGGCTCCCCTGTGGGAGAGCACGCTGGAGAGCTGGGTGAAGACCTATTTTCACAGCTGGAGATTTAAAACTGCGTGTGTCTGGAAGATTTCTTTTGCTGCCACAGGCCGTACCTCCTCCTGTAGACTGAGGCATAACTGGATAATTCTAGTGACCTTCATTTCAACAGCAGCATTATAATAGCCTACTAGTACCAACAGCCAAAATGTTGATCTATTTCATATATATAATACATGTCTGATTGAAAAGATTTTCGTGTATCAAATAGTGCAATAAAACATTAAAAAGCCATGAACCATGTTTACTTTTTAATTTCATTTTTTTTCTCCTATACTTTGAAAAGTAGATACTACAAACAGATATACATATACTGTATTATTACAGATTAACATAATGTATAACATTACTACAAATTCTTGTGTACAACACAATAGACTGATAATGAGTTTTTGCATTTATGTTGACCAACAAACTGTGCTGTGAATAGACATAAAACAATCCGCTTTAAACTGTCATCAAAATATAAAATGTATAATAAAAAAATCTCATTCTGGTATGAAAGCTCTGTACTGTCCATGCAGATATGTATCCAGTGTAAAACAAGCCAAGTATATTTTTGGAATAAACCTATTTTCTTCCACTGTGAAATTCAATGAATTGCCATTGAAAGCTGAATTGCTATACTTTTGCTGTTAAAGCACAAAGCATGTTGTGACAGCAACAATCTCTGGCCACTGACTAAAGGGTATTACAATCCTCTTGGGAATCTTTTTTTCTTTCTTTCAGTCCGCTACACAAATTTTCTCCCCTTCTGTATACGCTGTAATGGTATCCCTGTGTGCGGCCAGCAATGTCTGGTCAAAGAAATCACATTAGGTTAGACTCTATGCACTGGCCCTTTTGCTCCCATGAGAACCACCCCAAATGAGAACCACCTACAAATTTCCAGGCCCCCAGTTCCAAAGTTACAATAACAACTTTCTAGCCCCAGGTTGGGTTTTCCAGTTTAAAAAAAAACTGTAAAATGTCTGTTTCCTTTCTCTTCTTGCGCTCTGTTTATTTTTCTAATCCACATCTGTCAGTTCTTCAAATAATATTCCACACGCTGTGATCCTCAGAAATCCATGTGAGGAAGCATGTACTGTAAATGATGCAAGTGACTGTGTCTGTTAAAGTTTACATTCAGATGTACCACTGTCCTCCCTCAATCATGTCTTTTTTCTCACAGAACATGTACATATGTGACCTTTGAGTCTGTACCTAGGTGGTTCTTGGCCAGGCACTTGTATGTGCCTGAGTCTGAGACTGTGGGCCTCTGGATGATAAGTGTGCCCTGTGGGTGGAGCATCTCACTACCCGTAGGCCGGCCCTGCTCTGCTGTTGACAGAACTGAATGATCGGGCAGCTCCCATATTATTTCTGGCTTGGGGACTCCAATGGCAGCACAGTTGAGCTGGATAGGTGTCCCGGTCACTGCCTTTACACTGGGAGGCGGCCCTGTTGTGATCCGTGGAGGATAAGCAACGATAACAACAGGGATAGTGAGCACAGCCTCCCCAGCATCGTTCCGAGCTCTGCAGATGTAGTTCCCTCGATCATGGAGAGTGCTCTCTTGAACAACCAAAGTACCATTCTCAAACAACTGGTAGCGACCAAGGACTTGAGGCCGAGTAAAAGTGTGGCCACCAGGAATGGTCCAGTAGATCCTGGGTCTGGGACTCCCATCAGATAGACAGTGAAGGAAGAGAGGTTCTCCAGACACACTGCGAATGATGCCCCTAGGCCTTGTGAGGATGTAGGGCTTCTGCCCAATGTCCAAAATTATTAGCTTCTCTATGTAGCCCAAGAAATTCTTGGCACCACAGCGGTACTTTCCAGAATCCTCTTTGTGAGGGTTGTAGATGATCAAAGTCCCATCATTGCCTAGGTGGTGGCGAGAGCCATGGTCGGGTCCACCAGTAAACCGTGTTCCATTAGGTAAAGTCCAGATGATCTCTGGAATTGGGTGTCCATCAGCAGAGCAGTTCAGAACTGTGGTTTTCCCGACTCGAGACACAATACGTTCGTTGTAGGGGTTCTTGAAAATCGGTCTTCGGAGCATACTGGTCACTTCCAGCTGCACCACCATTACTGCCTCTCCTCCATCATTTCTCGCCATGCATATGAACTGTGCTGTGTCAGTTGGTCGCACATTACGGATCTCTAATGTCCCATTATGGTGGACATTAATCCTGCTGCCAAAGTATGGTGCTGTCAGGAAGATGTTATCAGGCATAATCCAAGTGATACTAGGAGTGGGATCACCCTCAGCCTTACAGTCTATTAATTTCCTTGAGTGTTTAGCAGCTGCATCTTTGATTACAGTCCTGTTCTGGCGGTAGCCATTGATCACTGGTGGATTCCCGTCTATATCAAGCATGTAGACTTTTCTATTCTCTCCAGCGAGGTTGCGAGCCATACACACATACTCCCCAGCATCGACAAGCTTCACATCCCTGATATCCAGAGAACCATTGACATGCATTAGGTAGCGTTCATTCGATGCTGCAATTACATCGTTGGTGGGCAGCATCCACAAGATTTTGGGTTTGGGTTCCCCAAGTGCTTCGCAGTCAAAGCGGATGTTCCCTCCAGGCTTCACCCTTGCATAGGTCTGACTGGGTGGACGTATCCTGGGGGCAGCGGTCACCACAGTGATGTGCACATGCATCTCATCCTTGCCCACCTGGTTCTCAGCGTAACATGTGTAGTCCCCTTCCTCTGACATACCAACCTGGAAAACCATGACATTGATATAAATTTTTTAATGTTTTTATAATTTTTGTGGGTGTTTGTGGTTGATGCAATAGCATACCTGGTTTAGGTAAAGAGTTCCATTGTCAAACAGAGTGTAGCGCCGTGCTCGTCCTCCTCCACTGCTGCCGTCAGACTGCAGAGCGCTGTTGACCACTGTACCATCCGGTAGACCCCAGGAGATCTCTGGCTTTGGTGCTCCTGAGGCTTTACAGTCGACCTTGAAGTCATTACCAAATGGTACCTGCTTCTTGCCATAGAGTTTAGGCTCTATCTTGGCTGGCTTCATTGACACACTGACCCTCATGAGTTGGAGATCATCGCCAATCTTGCTTCGTGCCACACACAGATAGTCTCCAGTATCTTTATCACTCACAATGTTAATGATAAGAGTACCATTATCCAGGACCTGGATTCTGCTGCCCATCCTGGGGAAATATATGATTGAAAATTAGAGTGATTTAGCATGAGTGGCAGACAGAATAAAGCCTGACCAAATAAAAATGGGCACCATTTACTATTGTGTGGGACAAATGACATATAATACTGTCATTGCACAAGTTACTGTAGTGTACGAGTTATCACTGTTGATAACTCATGCAGCTTGTTTAGAACAGTGCTTAAAAAATAATACAAAACCAGTATTTCGACAATTTGGCAAATGCTAAAATTCTTGGGCCATGAAAAAAACAACAAAGAAAACACAAGTGAGAACATTGTGGTTGCTGAGTACTGAGTTAACTACTTACAACAAACATGTACATTCATTTTCTTGAAAAGAGGCTTAGTATTTTACGATCTTACCAGTAAACTGAACCTCAGCCTAAGCAAAGAATTGAACACCAGCATTGCATTGCCACGTGTTTCTTGAAAATAACACTTTCTGCTTCAGTCATTTTTCTCATCATATCTCAATGCAATGAGATATAATGACCTTCTAAACTTAGTTCTGTATGTATTTTGAGTTTTAAAAAAACTTTTTGCTTTAACATACATCATACTTGCATATTTCTCACACTGAACAGGCTAATGTTTACGAAAACAATAATAACTTATTAGTCTGTGTTATCATGATTATAGTCTCATGGTGTTGCATTTTCATGAGACCACAATCCAAAATACAGATGAAATGCCCTCAGATCTTCTTTAATGTAGTAAGTGTGTAGTGTAGTATCACCAGTGTTTTCATTTAATTTTTTTTTTATTTTAACTGCACTGAAGTTATTCCTTGAATAAATATGGTAAAACTCAGTATCTCATTCTCTGTTTTCAAACACATATGCAGCAAATAATCACCATATCAAAACAGTGACTCCATTCCTCTGTACTTTTGAGAGATAACCCAAAGGTTCAATGCAGGGAACTAAAAATGAAAAGAAACATTCAAACCTGAGACCAACATTTTAAAATGAAGCATGACAGTACATCATTAATCTATCCTGAGATTTGCTGTTACTCTTTTCAAATGTTAACTCTTCAACATTTCTGTTGTTCAAGTGAGCTTGTTTCAAATTCCAGTTAGATTTGCAAATTTCTGGACACAAGATGCTTAGTTCATGAATGGAAACTTATTACTGATTATTTATTATACAATACCCTTGAAAAAACTCTCTTTTGCAAGATCAGCACAACTATGTTTTTCTCAGCACTGCTCAAGGCATTTTTACCTATGCCAACGGTCCACCACAGCTTTAGAAGGCAGCCTCCACATGATCCTTGGTTCTGGGTCTCCTGTCGCTGAACAGTTTAGTTTCAACTGATCCCCAAAGGACAACTCTGTGACACGCTGGGATGTGTCCACTATTTGAGGTGCAGATTCCCGCCTCTCAACAATCAGAGTCACCACCCTTCGCTCTGAGCCAGTAGAGCTGGTAGCAATACATTCATATTTCCCGCTGTCTGCTGGAGTCACGTCCTGAATGTGGAGTGTCCCATTCTCATACACTGATATCCTTGGGTCTCTGGCAGGCCTGTTGGATGGTACCATTGTCCCATCATGAAGGACCCAGTGAATAGCAGGCTGAGGGCTGCCTTGGCCAGTACAGGGTAGCCACAGGTTCTGGTTTACACCTGCTTTGAGCTGCTGCCGTTTCTCCTCCATGATGCCCGGTGGAGCTGCTACCACCTGCAGTCGGACTGTAGCAGTATCAGCTCCAGCTGGATTACTGGCAATGCATTTGTAATGACCTCTGTCATAAACAGACACATGCTCAATGACCAGAGTCCCCTCGGCAGATACTGATACCCTTCCCTTCTCTGTGTTTTGACCTCTGACTTGGGTCCGGTTGGCCAGGATCCAGGATATCATGGGCAAGGGTCTTCCCTCTGCTTTACATTTCATCTCCACAGTGTTTCCTGCATGAGATTTTATCTCACGCATTTTTGGCTCCAGTATGCGTGAGGGATAGGCCACGACAGAGAGGGTGACAAGAAGTTTATCTGATCCATGATCATTCTCAGCTAGACAGAGGTACTGGCCACGATCCTTAATGTTGGCATTCTGGATGAACAGTGTGCCATTGCTCAACACTTCAAACTTTCCCATCCTCCCCTTAATGGTAATGGTGCTTCCTGAAGGACACAGAAAGACAATTACTTCAAAGAAATGTTTAACTAAAACACATCCAAAAACAATATACTGTATAATACTCACACAAATACAGACCAAAATAACCAAGTGTTAGTTAGTTAGTTAACCTAAAGTGTTACTTTAGGTTATAGCTAAAAAAATCACATCTTTACCTAATGTTATTTTTATTTACTTTATTACCATTTGTATTTTTTTTTTGGTCATTTTACTGCCTTTACATTTACCCTGCATCTGAACTCTAGTTCAGGTTTTTCTTTTCTTAATAACAACAATTAATGAAACTGTTTTTCTACCTGTGCTTGAGGAAAAGCGTTTCCAGGTTATATCTGGCTGGGGGTTTCCGACAGCCTCACATGGCAAGAAAGCATCTGAGTTGGACAAAACCGTAAAGCTGGCCGCATTGCCTCCAACTATCTTAGGTCTGCTTGTCATGACCTGCGTTGTGGGTTCTAGGCCAGCAATATTGGCACTTGTAGCTTCATTGCCAGAGACATGATAATACACACTAGAGATGGCCTTGTGTGTGCCTATGTTGTTGTAAGGCTCAGGGGTGTTGATGTGTCCTTTCTCAGGTGTAAGGATGATCACTGTGTCAAAGTTAAGGCCTTTATCTGTACTGCCTCTGGCAGAACTGCTTTGCACAGTAGGTCTCACTGTACTCATTGGTGGCCTGCGAGTGATGTGACCATTGTTCCTATGTGTTGGTGGTCTGATATTGCTGTGGACTCTAGTGTGAACTGTTGTGTAAGACCCTCTTGTGGTAGCTGGCATCACTGTGGTGGTAGGGTTATATTTTGAGGTGATTAAAGGTGTCTTGGTTGTAGTATAGGCTGGTAAACTGCTAGATGTGCTCCAGGCAAATTCCTCATACAAGTCAGTCTCCTCCTTTGACATTTGGTCAGTGGAAACAGCTACTGTGGTTCTGTCCTCTCTCCAAGATGGTGTGTACAGGGGCTTGTTAAGTGAAACAGTCTGTTGAGGTAGTCGGGTTGTCTCTATTGTAGATTCCATAGTTGATGCCTCTGAAGTTGAAACCTCAGTTGTTGTAGTAGTATGTACTTTAGGGATTCTAGGGTTTTTGAAGGGTCTCCTGCCTCCGAAGGGCCTCCTTCTCCGACCTTGCCGCACTCTTGTCCCACCTGGTCTCTGTCTAATTACAAACCAATTATCAGGGAGTCCACCAGACCCTGAAGATAAGGCTTCATCAGGATTTTTAATTGAAGGGGGTTTGGCAGTAGGTGGAGAGGGTAGAGTCTGTGATTCTGGTGGTGTTTCAGGAGTGGTGGAGTACCTGGAGTAATAGGAAGAACTGGTAGTAGTTATATGTTGCAAGCTGGGTGCCAGTGTTGTAAACTCAAAATCTGCAGAGGATAAATCTCCATAGTCATCATCTAATGTGTGTCTGGATGGGGACAGAGTCTCGGGCTCAGCCAGTGAGTTTGCAGTAGTGCTGGGCATAGCGGCAGGGGTTGTGGTCAAAGTTACTGTTGTGGTTTGAGCTGTAGTTGACGTTTTTGGAATGATTAATGGCCTCCTTAGCCTGGCAAGTATCTTTTCTCTCTCTCTGCCTCCAAACAGCCTGTCCCATGGAATTCTTCCACGAATAACCTTAGAGGCAGTTGTAGTAGTGGTCGTGGTTGAGAATGAAACAGATGGTTCTTTATTTGTGGTCAAAAATGGATTCATTGTAGGGTCAAACTCTGGGGCATCAGCAGAGGTTACATAACCACTGGAATCATCTGGCTTAGACTCTTTATGGGTTGAAGGGGCATTTACAGTCCCGTAATAGTTTGTGGCAGAAGCTACTGTTTTTTGTGTAGTGGCGGGTCTCTCTGTTCTATGTAAATATGAATTGGAGGAAGCTGATGGTGCTACCATCTGCACATCCGTGGCTGCTGTCCTCTTTTTGTCTTCATCACAATCACAGTCTGAGGGAAAAAAATAAAGAAAAAAGGGAAGCGGAAACACAGATTCATAAAACATGAGCTAAAGAGGAACAAATTGAGACATGAAGCAGAAAAGTAACAATCTATTAAACAATAATAAAAAATAATACTGCTTACCTGTAGTCAGTTCAATTTGATATGGCACCGAGGCATTCCCTTCTTTCTTCAATGAGGGCTGTTTAAGTTTATTGATGAAGGACTGTATGTCAGTGATCCTGTTGGGTTTTATGATCCTCCTGCGGCCTTGGAAGGTCCTCCTGCGGCCCCCTCCTCTGCCATTCTTGTGTGGGATGATATGGATCTGCTGCCGGGAGATGATGGTGGATCCTGCAGGCAGGCGTGGGGATTTGATTGTTTGGGTGGTGTGGAAGGTGATCTCATCTTGCTGTCTCTCTGTGGTGGTGACGGCTGTGAATGTGGTCCGGCTCTCTGGGTCTGTGTGGATGAATAGCTCCACTGGGCCTGGTCCATCCCTCATTGGAGTAATGTTAGGGTCTGTGGTAAATGAAAGTGCTGCTCCTGTGGATGTCTCTGGCTCTGCAGGTTCTTGTCCTGAGAACTGGAGCTGAGTTTCATGTGTATTGTCTGTCACACTAAGTTGGACAGTAACTGGGCGCATGTCTGAGGGGGGCTCGCTGGCTCTTTCAAGGCCATAAAACTCTGTCTTCTCAACAAAACGTGGATTGTCTGTGAATGTGGACTTGATCGGTGTAGAGTCTGACTGCATATATGACTCTGTTGTTGTTGTGTTTGTATTTTCTGTTATTCTACTAAAATCAATGTGATTGCTAACTGTGGTTTCCATAACAGCAGTTTGATGAGCCCCTGTTGTTGCTAAAATACGACCCTGACTTATCTGTGTCGGTGTTGTTGTTTCCGTCTCACTGTCTTGCCTAAATATTCCATTTTCTTCTGGATTATCTATAGTTGTTTTGACTACCCTTGGCACTACAATGAGGAGGTCTTCATTATGACCCTCACCGGAACCAATATCACCATCACCAGAAAGACCAGGGTGTGAGTCTTCATATTTTGCCCTCTCTTTCTCTGTGTCACTCCTTATTCTTGATCCATCTTGAGCCTTCTTCATCAATTCAGCAAATTTCTGTGGATCTACTTTCCTGGAAGTTTTATCAAAAACCCTACTACTCCAGATGCGTCTGTTGCTGACTGGCCCCCTCCTCCTCTGTCCCAGTCTACCTCCTGAGCCTCCTCTGCCCTGTGACCTGAGTCTGGGGTAAGGTCGATCTGAGGTGATGGTCCTGGATTCTTGACTAGTTCCTTCAGAGGGACTGGAAGAAGGGATCTCATTGAGGGTGACTGTGTTTTCTGTCACGCTAGGGTCTGTCTTGATCGCCATTTCCATCCCTGACCCCTCCCTGTCCAAATCTGTCACCTTTTCATATGTTTCTCCAGTTACCGTCACCTGAGACACGAGCAGGTCAACTCCCAGGTGATTAGCAACCAAACACCTATAAAACCCTCTGCCCCTCTCTGTGAGCCCCTGAATCAGCAGAGTCCCATTCTTATATACCTTTCTGTTCCCATGGGACTTATCCAGTACTGAGTGATCAGGGAGGATCCACTGTACTGAGGCCTCAGGAATCCCTGAGGAGCTACAGTCAAATACCAGATTTTCACCCAGTGGCCTTGAAAGTTGGACACCGTTGACCTCAGTTTCTTCCACGTCAGGGGACAGAACTGTCACTCGAAACAGGAGGATATCTGCATCCAGGTAGTTTGTGGCAATGCACCGGTACAGGCCTGTGTCTGAGGCATCTGCACCCCGTAGAGTGAGCTTCCCTTCAGCAGTGATTATGATCCTCCTGTCCTCACTGGAGTAAGGGGCTCTGACCTTACTTCCATCGGGTAAAATCCACTCCAACAAAGGCTTCGGCTCGCCCTGGATTTGACAGTTCAATTGTGTCACACCACCTATGTTAAAAATAAAACAAATATTTTATTACAGGAATTATTGCTTTCATATTTAAAAGCACAAGACATTTTTAGTCTTTTGAGTTCAATTAAGACTGAAGTGAAAGGTATAAAGTCATATCAGCCATCAGCTAGTTTATTAAGAATTAATCACTAACTCCCACCTGTAAGTACAGTGTGCTCAGTCTTGGTTTGATTATCTTTCTTGATCATGGTCCAGGAATAGCGATCCCTCTTGGGCGATGTTTTTTCCACACGTAGGTTGACCACAGACTGGTACTTAATGTGCAGAGTAGAGAAAGTGGTAGTAGTGCGGTCGAGCTGGAAGCTCACCTCTCCCTGCATCAACCATGCAGGGGAGGCTTTAATCTCGGCCTCAATGCTTGAGTAAATTCCTTCCTCTCCCTCTTTCGTTTTGATCTGACTGTACCTGTAAACCATTTCTGGGCTTCTGGCCAGCATTAACCCTCTCTCTAGCCTCATGGGAGAGTCACTGTAGGTGGCCAGGATCTGCCACAGCTGCTGGATGTGTTCATAGTCAACGTTACATACCAAATATGTAGTTATTCCAGAGGTAATCACAGTGACATTGTTTCCCTCCTCCTCCTCCAAGGTTTGTGTCAGGCTTTCAAAAGCTGAGGGCCTCTGGACTGTGCAGGACAGACTGCCCTCACTGTGAAAGTGGTCGGTCAGGTTCATTTGTATGGTGCCTAATGGGGCAATGAAATCCTTGGGGGAAACTGGAGTAAAGTCCCCCTCATCCAGGCTGATGTTTTTCTGCTTTAGATGGGGTTGGATCCAGGGTTTGGTACAAGTGAAGGCATCACTGGGTAGAAGGGATAGAGGCCTGTTGTGGTAAGGGGCAGGATTTTCACAAACAGGACACAGCTGTCCTCTTGGATATCTCCTGTCTCGCTTGCATTTCAGCACACCTGGAAACATTTAAATGAAGTGTTGTAGCGTTTAGCTGGTTGCATGTAAGAAAAGAATATTTACAGTTTCCACATAATGAGCCAGACAAACCAAAACGGTTCAGTAAAACTTATGAAACAGTAAAGATCATCATCACTATACAGAACTGTAATTTATGAGCTGACTTTTGCATTAGCCAGGCCATGACTAAAAGATATATCTTAGTTCCTTTGTGTCTTTTGTGTTTTGTGTGGCCTTGATGATGAGAAGAAGATATGATTTCTACCTCCAGTGGTGTTTCTGCAAAGATTTATATTTTTCCCTTGGATATGCCTTTCTTCCTTGGGATACTGTTCCAAGTTTGTAGTAGAGAAAACATACCAAAGTCTGAGTAGAATAACCTATTGAAGTACTAATACAGTTAGCAACTTTACCAGATGTGTCTTATTAACAGATGTGTCCTGTTAAAGCTGCATGTAAATGCAGGTTGACAAAGTTTTAGATCAGTGATTTATTTATTTTTTTTACATTTACGCAAGAGAAAGTGTCAAGACCAAGGAAGATTTCTTCATTAAGAAAGGAGGGCTTCTCTTCCTTTGTAAACATTACAACACTTCTCTAAATGCTTTCAAATGGTTCCAAAGCAAACAAAACTACTCACCTGTATTTCTCTGTGCCCACATGGGGAACCACTTCATTCGGCAATCACATGCCCAGGGGTTGCCATGGAGGAAGACATTTTCTAACTGGCTGCAGCCTAAAAAGATATCTGCAGGCAGAGTGGTGAGGAGGTTGTCCGACAGGTGGATGTTTCTAACTGACGACACCTTGAACACTTGGCTGTGTCTCAAGGTGATGAATGTGTCTGGGTGGAGCTGCTGGAGGTGGTTTCCCTCCAGATGGACCAACTGTAGGTTGGTTAGACCATAGAAAGCCTCTGGGCTGATGAACTCAATGTAGTTGTGGTCCACATGGAGTCTCAGCAGACTGTCCAGGCCTTTAAATGTCTCTTTATTGATTTTTTTAACTTTATTATAGGACATCTTCAGGACCTGTGAGAGCAGGAGAAGTTGGAGACTGCCTGTCAAAACAATGTTGACTTAAGACTATTATGTTAACACGACAGCACAGTATTGGCAGATACCATGAAACGTTGTAAAAACAGCAGTATAGTTTGAAAATAGTTTATTTATGCTGGAAAAGTGCAAGTAAGCAGTTACTGGAAAGCATCCTTTATATCAAATAAATATAAGTATAATAGAATAATGCTCTGTTTGTAAAGATACTAAGTAAACAGCTAATATTAACATCGAGAACCCTTCTGCTTATGCAGGGATGGTATTAACACTATACATTCTTAATATTTGTGTGTCATCATGCACAATTATTGAACTAAACTATAAAATGCTGACAGGCTTTTAACACTACTATATGCTTTTGATATTCTAGTTTGATGAAGTTGTACCTCAATATTACAAGACAGGTCTGTGATCTGTTCACAAGGGACTAACAAACACACAATTTTACCTGTAAGGACTTGAGGTCTTGGAAGGCTCTGTCTTCAATACTGTGTATAGTGTTGCTGTGCAGCATCAACAGCTCTAAGTTCTCAAGTCCTGAAAGATCATTTTCTCTCAAGACAGTTATACTGTTGTACCTAAAAGCAGAGAAATGAAAAGAAACTTCAGCTAATTAGCTCAAAAGTATTACATGTTATTTATGAAAGTTATGTTTTTACACGAAACATAAGTTATGCCACCCTAATAGAAAAAAATAAAATAATAATTATAACAATTTTGGAGATGTACGTTCAGCACAGTCTCTACATGTCCATCCAGTGATGAGAAAAGGTCTAATCAGACAACTAAGTGAAAACACCTGTGGAGGTGAATCATAGGTGTGTAGGGCTTTTAGTACTGACATATCGGATATCAGTGTTCGACTTAATACTTCCCACTCATTCCAGGTATTGTAAGAAGTTTTTACTCCAATACATTGCTCCTTCTGAGCAGTAAATATGAAAATTTTAATTGTTTTTGTAACTAAGGATGAGACAAAATTCAAGCTGCAACAATTAGAATTGAACAGTCAATCGACATTAAAAGGAATTTGCCACCGTTTTGATAGTTGATTTATTTGACAACCTGAATACATAATGCATTTGGCCATAGCTTTCATCAGCACATACACATAATATAAATGATTGAGGTGTAACAGTTACGACAAAACTGAAAAGAGATGGGAATCAGGCACAGCCTGTACACTACACATCCACAAAGTCCTGTTCATTTTCTCATGGCAGACATTTAGACTTATCACAGAGCAGGAGCAACACAGATGTTACTAATAACATTAATGAATGCTCGGTTCTGTTAAAGTCAGTCATGCCAGTCAGCCTTCATGCACAATAAAAATGGAATGCAGCCATTGTTTATGTTATTGACTACACCTGTGCTTTTCCTGCTATGACAATGCCTGTCAATCTATGTATTAAGTGTTGTATCATAAGAAGAGGTCTAATTAGGCAAAATCAGTGCAACATCCCAACACCTGTGGAAATGTAACATTGCTCTACATTGGTGTTTAAAAAGCTCGTTTTCCATCAGGCAAGCTAAAAGTAACTTTAACAAAATAAGCGAGTGTCAGAATAATTTTTTTGTGTTTCATATAGTGTCTGTATACACAGTCACACTTAGGAAGAGACACAAACTGGACACTTAACTCCAACACTGTTGAGGCTAACGAGCACAGAAGCGCAGAAGCTAGCAGATGTGGTTCGTGCGGTGGCTTAACTCTTCCTTGGAGAAGGAAAGGCGACGAGGGAGGCGATTTTGCTGAACCAGAAGATGGGAATACTGAAGTAAAGAGCTAGCTGGTAGTTGTAAAATTTGCACTAACGTTATAGCTAAACGTTGTACAGGTTAGCTAGTTAGATTAGCTATTAGCTAAAACTGAGCTCGGCTAACGTTCGCATATTACCCATTTTAAACTAACCTCAAGGTTAGTAATCTCCCACAGTCACAAATTTGAAGTATAAGTTATCCACTATGTGGGTCAATTAACGAAAATGACTTCCAATTGAATTTTTATTTCAGAGTTGACCGTTCACTTATTTTAATAGCAGTCATGGTATGTAGAAGTTTAAAGTTTTGCCAAAGCGGCAGATAATATGTGCTTCAATATAATGATATTCCATGTTAGACAATATGTGTTTCTATATAATGTCATTCCATCTTATACAGTCAGACGCTTAAATCAGTCAATAAAATCATCCCTCTCCAGAGTATCTGCAGTTCTCCAGTTTGGAAAGAAAGAGAAATGAACTCACCCGAGGTTAATTCTTTCCACAGCTGGCTGGATGTGGTCAGGTATGGCGGTCAGGTATCTGAAGGTGCAGTGCACTTCGGTGGGGACATAACAGGCGCATGATTTGGGGCAGTCACCGCTCGTCGGCAGCACAGCAGCCAAGACCAACAGAGCCTTCAGCAGCCACCTCCACAGGTATGACGCGCCGCAGGCACACACACTCATTGTGCACGGGGATGGAGCTTCAGCTGCACGGCCAAGGGAAGCTACAGTTTATCCTGAACCATTAATGAAACCCACCTGTAGAAAGAGGTAGAGGGTGTTAAAGCCTTACTTCACTTAAGAATATAGATAGATAGATAGATAGATAGATATAGATATAGATAGATAGATAGATAGATAGATAGATAGATAGATAGATCAAAAAAAGAAAAATCCAAAAAACGTGCCAATCCAACATCTACTCTATAGAACAAGTTGACATTTTCATCACCGTCATACAGATTTTTCCTTTACAAATTGTGCTCCTTTTTATTTTTATGTATATATATTTATTAATCGTCATTTATGAAGGAGAAAATAGTGATATGAGCACGCTTGCAATTATTAGGAAAATTCACTCAACCAGAGAAAATATTACATGCAGAATCTTATGCTTAATATAGACCTATATAAAACTGTAATAACTTGCACACAACTGCATTTCAAGTCTGAAAAATGCATTGAATACAGTTTCTCTCACCGCGCTCTAACAGCTGTTGAAAACGGAACTGCTGCACTTGTAGGAATGTAAAAATCCCGACGAGAGAGTCGACATTCAGTTTCAGTAGTTCCCCTGTTTAATTCCTCAGATAAATCCACTGTGTCTGAGGCACAGAGGGACGGGAGTCATTTCTGTGTGAGCGCCTGCAGCGGAGCACACACTTTGGTCTCCTCCGCCCCCCTGTAATCTGCTGTAATGTAATCCTAGAGTAACTGCAACTATGGAATACTCATGGAAGCGCTCTGCTTGAAATGCCACGAATCCTACACGCTGTTGAACGCCAACATAAACACAAAATCCTTCCTCAACTTGAATTACATGAGGACAAAAGTGGAATTCTTAATTTCTGCCAAAACACTAATATCTGATTTATGTGATTAACTAGGTCACAAAATTGTTTGCACAGAAGCACATCTTAGATGAAGAATTCTTCCTTGATGTGAGCTATTAGATATGGCTCCCAAATAATTTTCTTCTCATCTTGGCTGTTTATTATAGTCATAAATAGCAAATGATTAAAAATGGACATAGTATGACAACTGCCCCAAGCTCCTACACCACAAACTCTTTGTGAAACTCTTTGTGCCAGATGAAAGCACTGTCCAATCATGACGTTCAAAGACAAATGTGTTTCAGATGAACTCATTAGGCATTTTACTTTCTTCTTTCCCATCAAATGGGCCATTTGAATACTTTGTTTTTATTTGGGTGTTTTGCTTATGATGAAAAGCACAAGCCAACCACCCTCCCAGGCATGTGGGGGTCAGTTTCTTTTTTGTCTTTTTCCAAAATACAGTTCTTTTGAATGGTTTGTTGAAACCTAAGAGTCCCTCTGTGCCCTTGAATCAGCATATTTAGATGCACAGTCTTTTCCCTTGCATTCTGCTGTTAGTAGTACAGTATGTAACTGAATCACTTGTCTTTCATGTGAGACGTCTGTCTGTGACTTTAAGGTAAAACTTTTAAGTTACACTGCATGAGTATTGTCAGTATTCAAACCTGAGAACCTGATACAAAGAAAATTATAATCTGACTTTATTACATCAGTATCAGATACAGGTGTTTTGAAACTCAATACAGTTCATAGCTGAGATTTAAAACATCAGCAGGGAGCTGAAATTTTATGACTTCGGGCAATATTCAGCTCAATCAGGGCATGTAAGATCAGTCTCTTCCAGTGCTCAGATAAAATGACTCCTGTCACAAGATGGCAAAATTTGAACAATGGCTGATTTCCAACTTTAAGTTTACATGCCTTTTGTTTGTGGATGACTCATTGTGTCTGTTGCTATCAAAAGTTCTGAGTCATTCACTTGTAAACAGTATTTATGAAAGAGTATCCATCAAACCACAGCTCAGGTTGTCTTTAAATCATACCATGTGTGTTTTAGCCTCCAAAATACTATGTTCGCTCTCACAAAGCTGCTGGTTATCCACATCCCACATCCACTCTGTTAAACATCAACAAACATGCACACACTCTGGACACTCACACGTGCACACAGATATACTGCGGTCACATTTTAATGAGCACTGCCTTTAGTAACACAGAAGACTGTTAATGACTACACTGTAACTTCTCAAACCACAGAGGAATAAGCAAGGAGATCAGAAAACTTCATCACAGATATGTTAGTGGACTAGTAATTTGCATAAAATGAGGGTTTATGGGGATCCCTGTCATCAATTACTTTATTCACAGGCGAGGTTTGCATGTTCCATTGCTTGTGTCATCAGTATTGTTTGCCTCAACATCTGGACAACACACCAACAAATGTGGATAACAACACCTCTCTTCTCTTCTCTTCTCACTGATGACTAAGTCAGATTTTTTTGCTTCAGTATGTCATGTTTCTCACCCAGAATCCATGACAACCTGTAATTGATTTGCTCCAGCTGTTATTACTGTAAATGCAGAGCAATGCAAGTCACTGCGGTTACATTTTTGTAAATCTGTGTTACACTTGATTTACCAACAGTGATGATGAAGGACTATTACTGTATATTGTCTGAGGCTTCCCCCAGCCACAGTTTCTTGTATTGACATGCACAAATGTGACTTACTTAGCGGCGACCATTAGTCTATTCTCATCTTTAACAAGTAATCTTGACACAAACAAGACTTAATTCAATTAGGCAGGATTTCATGCCCATTTCTAAGCCCCAATCAAAGTGGATTTAATCTGCTAACAGAGTAGAATTTTTCTTCAAGGAAAGTACATAGTAGAGTTAATTATGTCTTGATCCAAGTCATCATTATAACTGAAGAGCTAAGCCTCTTCTTAGAGATGGAAAATTGCAGTGATAAGAGACTTAGAGGGTTGAGAAGAAGAAATGATGGGAAAAGCACAGTTTGCAACAGGTTTTGAGTGTGTGTGTTTTCATGCGCATAGCTATGTGGCCAGTACAATGTGATTTGTTTGTTTGCAATTCTGCTGATCACAAAGTTGAGTCTGGTCCATCTTTTTTCTGGCCAAAGAAACTGTTTCCCTTTGGCTTTAATTTACTCCAGATGATGGAGTACTACAAGTGCTGTATTATTCTTTAAGCTACAATTCTAAAAATGTTCTGGAGGTTAAATTGGGATTCCTAGTGGACTTTGATCTTGCTGTATGTTAAATCCCCTGTGTTTGCATACACAGTTTATCCCCTCACAGACTAGATAATGGTGGGAAATGCAAAACCAATATTGCTCTCCCCTTCACTCTACACTGTGGCCTAAAGGGAGTGTGGAGGGACGGTTCAGCTGTTAAAAGTCACAGCTAGCTGGTAGGCTCCGAGGAATTTGTAGACACATACAGCATTGGCCTCAGCTCCTCACACTCATTGCTCGGTTATGACTGGGGGCCCAGTCATAACCCTCTGTGGGAGGTGAATGGCAGGAATAGTGTGGTTTGGAAAAAATATCACCTTACATGTGACACTCTTAACATCCTTGACATGTTTTTCCTCATGTGTGGAATTCTCTTCTATTAATTCAGCACATTTTATGTTTTTTTTCATTAGACACATATCTACAGACTAATTTTGGAGCATGTCAGATGGCATGTTCTTTAAATTTAGTTTGAAGTGATAGAAAAGTCTAGCTTACTGTAACTGCAATGTCATTAAAGCTAATGCATAACTAAACATCTGTTTGCAGGTGTGCTGGCTCTTGCAGCATGTTTTATAGAGCGGTAAACTAACAGACAGCACCTCTCTAACAGTTTGGATGGAGAAAAATAAGCATCAAAGTGACTCTTCATATAGTACATAAAGGGAGAGAGAAAAATATTTATTGTTGTCTAAGCCCACATTTGGGTAGGTTGAGATAGATAGGAATTACAAAATGCAAGCCAAGCAGACATAGGCCAGTAATGTGTGGACGGATAGCCAGGAATTATTTCTTTTCTTTACTTTGAAGGTCGATATAGCAGAAATGGCCAGTGGGATCAGCTCTTGCTGTTACAGTTTGGCTTCTCAACTGTTCAGTCATTCATTCCAGACCTGCATGGGCTGTGAGCTATTCATCCACCATATCATCCAAATTTAGCTTTTTTTGTCTGTTTATTTGCATTTCCTGTAGTTTTTTTATTATTATTTATTTTTTAAAAATGTCAGTTTCTTCTTGTTCTTTGCGAGAAATCAGGTTTATGTGATTTCAGGAGAGGAGAATCTTATCATAACCTATTTGTTATTTGGTGTGTTGTCTTCTTTATTTATTGGGTTGCTCAATATGTGCTCCACTCTCACTATCAAGACTGAAACTAGTTATATGTTGGTGTTCTATGTGGGTATGTGTGTCATCACACTGATTCCCCTCGCACACTGTTAGATTTCTTTGTTCCTTTGGCAATGTTGACATTCAGGGTAATCTGAGCCGTAGTTATAGTAGGCTTTATGCAACTCTATGGAGGTAATGACTCTCTGATTACACTGCAAATTTTCAAAAAAGTACCGTATGTGTTTATGTTTGTAACAGAATGAAACAGGGTTTATATATGTGTAGATAGTGTTGTTGTAGTAGTGTAGTGTGTGTGAGTTTGTGTGTTGTGTGTTTTAGAGTAATGTAGTTTCTGGAACACAGTTCTGTGACTTCACTCCTGCACAGGCTCGGACTCAAGTTTCATAGACTCTCAACAATAGAGAAGAAAATGAGCCAAGTTCTCTTCTCTTGACACGCTGGATCAATTTGACATTAGTCACACATGTTAACAGCTGTCTGTCTGAGTCTGATGACCTTTGGCCTTTTAGGGTGATGATATGGCAGTTCAAAATATATCTGGATCAGTCAAAAAAATGTTGGGTACTTCTTTTATCTTGCCCTTTCAGTTTGGTTTTGTGAAAGTCTTACAACACTGTTAATGCACTTTTTGCTGATACACCAGGCAGCAAGACTGATAAGTCTTATCACAGTAATTAAGGTCAGTGGAATTTGGTTTCTGGAGCAGTTTAAGTTCAGTGGCTTGATGAAAGGATACCT